ATATATATAGATATCTGTATGCAAATTTCAACAATTTAATGGAATAAGAAATGCAGGAAAATAATCAAGTACCAAAGTACCTAGCAGCAAAAAGATATTATCAATACCGAAGATCACTAAAAGAAATGCGATCGATATTGCTGACACATATAACATTCATCAAAATCTAGGAAATTCTTTTAATTAGTCATAAAATTACTCATTATTTTTGATTCCAGATTGCTGTTCCCATAAAAAAATGTATTTGCATTTCCTGTTTGAAACATATTAGCAAATCTATGACCTAATGCTAAAAATCAAAGTCTAAACAAACAGAAAGCACCAGAGTGACAAGATCATCAAATGATGATCATAAAGCTAATTCATTCATTCATTCATTCATATAAATATTGGACAGTGGTATAAAATGAAATTAAGTATACAAAATATGCAAATTAAACAAAATACTAATTTAAAATATATATGTATAATAAACAAAATGAAAAATTTAGAATTAAAAATATATGTATAAAAAAAATATTTGTTAAGCAACAATAATTAAAAATAAAAAAACGTGTATATAAGATTAAAAGCAATATCAACTTGAAAACACATATGGATAATGAATATACAAATAAAAAATTCTATACATTAAGTAAAACGATATAAAAATAAAAAAAAACCGTATTTATATTTAAAAAAAGATAGTAAAAAATAAAATTAAAAAAAAAAATAGTAAAAAATTATTAAATATATATAACGAAAATTTTTAAGGCTAAAATTCGTTGTATTGTAAAATTTAACATTATTAAAAGGAATTACTGATTGTCTAAAAAGCTGGGCAATCATATAGCACAATCGTGCTCATTATGAAATGAAAGCAATTAAATTTCAAATGAAATTGAAATACTAAGAATCATTATATTACAATGCGATGAAAATATATTTATAATATTAATAAAAATAGTGACCATAGTGTCATTTTGTTAGTGTGCATTTGTATAGAGAGCATTTAGCTGATCATGCTCAAGATCGTTGAGGTCATTGACAAGGCATTTCCGTGATAAGATTTGCAATTGACAAGCACCGAGACTCATATTCATATCACACTGTATATATGTGTATACATATGCATATATTTTAGTTTATATAAATATTTATACAGAAGTAAAGAAGTAAAGCTTATCTCTTGTACTCACCTCTGGGGGAAATGAGCTACGTTTGCGTTTACAAACGGCGCCAAAAACGTTTGGACACTTTGCATACACATTAGAAGATCTTGGACGCAATGCGGGAATAAATAGATCCATACTTTTTATGCATGTTTTTGATGTTGTTGTTGTTGTTGCTGCTTTAGTTACTGCTGCTAGCTGCTTATATAGTAAGCATAATTTACTATCTGTGGATGTGGAAGTGTCTGAGGCTGTGACTGTGGAGGGTGCTGCTGCTGCTGCTGTTGTTGTTGCTGCTCCGCTGCTGCTGGCGGGGGTGACAACGTGATCTTGTTTCCCATTGCTGCTGCTGGTTGTGTTGGCACTGCAAAAAAAATGTAAACCATATATGTAAAAGTAGAAAGCAAACATGAAATGGATGAAAATTTTTGGCAAATGGCTGCGGGGGAAATTCAATGCCACTCAATCAAAAGAAAGAAAGAAAGATAGCGAAGAGAAAGCAAGTACGCGCACATAGGGGTCTGGGTCTGGGTCTGGGTCTCTCTATCTAGCATAAATTCATTGAAATTTTGACAGGCGCCCATTGGCAACATGAATATTTAACATCCGGGAAATTGTAATCGAGAGGCTGAGAGCGACGCCTCAAGCGACCCTTTTTCCGAAACTGATTTTCTTTCGTTTTTGAAAATTAAGCAATTTTGGCAAATTTGCATGCACATTATGCATAATGCAAGAGGAAGTAACTGTTTTCTGTCGATTAAATGGTACTCCTGCTGCTGCTGCTGCTGCTGCTGCTGCTGCTCCTTGGCAGATGTTTATCTCAAGATTGAAGATAACGGCACTTCATGCAATTCGTTGCGCGAATATTTTCAATTTCTGCCTTTTTGCAATTTGAGAAGTCGTTTGTTTAACCCTTAAGAGCAGCAGCTCACCTTGCGAATCAACTGAGATCTGCCAAAGGGGGTTCATTAAAAAAAAAGATCTAACAAATATGAAGAGGAAATATTCTGTTGAGATTGCTGCATGCCTGAATACCCTAAAAATATTTGGGTCCTTTGATATAATTAAATATACATATATATCTGAATCGTTTAAATATCTAGTAAAATTAAAAAAAAAAGAAAAAACAAAAATTATTATACTATACTATTATGAAATATCGAGTTGGAAAAAAACATATAAAAAAAATAATGCAATAAATTATATGTATATCGGAGTATTTATAAAAAGTAATTATATTATAATAAATGCAAAAAAAAAAAAATATATATATA